GTTTCTCTTACTTCCTTGATTAAATTTATTCCTAAGTATATTACTTTTTAAAAATTTTTTAAAGATTTTATTTATTCATGAGAGGCATGGAGAGAGAGAGGCAGAGACACAGGCAGAGGGAGAAGCAGGCTCCTTGCAGGGAGCCCGATGTGGGACTCGATCCTGGGACTCTGGGTTCACCTCCTGAGCTGAAGGCAGATGCTCAACTGCTCAGCCACCCTCGTGTCCCAAGTATATTACTCTTTTTGATGCTCTTGTGAATAAGATTGTTTTCTTCTTCTTCTTTTTTTTTTTTATAAGATTGTTTTCTTTCTCTTTTCAGTAGTTTGTTGTTAGTGTACAGAAACACAATTAAGCCTTGAAGAACACAGGTTTGAACAGCATGTGTCCACCTATATACATGGATTCTTCTTTCAGTAGCCAGACACATAGCACTGTAAATGTATTTTCTTTATGATTTTTTAAAAATAACATTTTCTTTTTTCTAGCTTTCTTTCTTTAAGAATACAGTATATAATGCATATAACAGAGAAAATGTGTGTTAACCTAATATTAATGTTACCATTAAGGGATTAAGTCAACAGAAGGCTATTGGTAGTTAAGTTTTTGGGGAGTCAGAACTTACACACAGATTTTCAGCTGCACAGGGGGTGGGCTTTCTTAACTCCATCGTTGTTCCAGGGTCAACTAGTGATTTTGTATCTTGCAACTTTACCGAATTTGTTTATTCTGGCATCCTTTTAGTGGTATCTTTGGAAGGGTTTTCCACAAACAGAATATTTTATCTCTTTCTGATTTTGATGCCTTTCTTTCATTTTTAAGATTTATTTACTTTAGAGCATGTGCATGCACACATAAATACATGTGAGCAGGGTAGGGGTAAGCAGAGAGAGAAAGCCTCAAGCAGATGTACTCTATATTGAGGAGCTGTTGCAGGGCTGGATCCTAGGACCCCGAGATCACGACCTGAGCCAAAATCAAAAGTTGGACACTTAACCCACAAAGCCAGTCAGGCTCCCCAATTTCTTTTGTTTTTTAAATTTGTTTTGCCTAATTGCTCAGGTTAGGACTTTGAGTATTATGTTGAATAAAAGTGAGGAGAGTGGGCATTGTTTTCTTGTTCCGGATCTTAGAGGAAAAGCTTTCATTTTTTCATTATTGAGGATATGATGTTACCTGTGGACTTGTCTTAAGTGGCCTTTATTATATTGAGGCATGTTCCTTCTATACTCAGTTGGTTTAGTTTTTATCATGAAATGATGTTGAATTTTGTCAGATGCTTTTTGTACGTCTACTGAGATGATCATGTGATTTTTATTCTTCATTTTGTTGATGTGGTACATCACATTTATTGATTAGCATTTGTTGGACCTTACTTGCATGGAAAGCATATTTATACCTAATTAACAAGGTTTTGAAATGGATATAACTGCTATTAGTGAAATAAGGGGCCCCTGCTATTAGTGAAATTTGGGCTGCTGACTTTTGACTTGGGCTTAGGGCTCACACTGGGCTTCGAACCTACTTAAGATACTCTTTCTTCATTCCAGAAAGTTCTTTTGGATAGTACTAATCAATATTGTTTTATATAATAAGAGATCATTTATTATCATAGTAAAATTTTTAAGAATCAGTGTTTGCTAATTTGACACCATTTTAGAAGACCTGGACTCTTAAGATTGTGTGATACAGTTGAGTGAATAAGTACACCATGCTCTCTTTCTAAGGAACACTAACCTAATTAACAATGAGCACTAATGAATCAAGTGTCAGAATACTGAGTTTTTTTTGTGGTTCTGCTTTATTTTGTATGAATTTGGAAACCTTAGAAACATAGCAAGTTTTCTTCTTAAAGATATACTGTCATCTTTTAAAAACATTGAAAGCAAACAGCTAATATGTATTAACTGCAGATTTTACAGTATAGAAATATTAGTGAAAAGTTTTATTTAAAAAATTTTTTTAAAGATTTTATTTATTCATCAGAGAGAGAGGGGGGGGGCAGAGATGGGCAGAGGGAGAAACAGGCTCCATGCAGGGGGCCTGATGTGGGACTCGATCCGGGGTCTCCAGGATCATGCCCTGGGCCAAAGGCGGCATTAAACCGCTGAGCCACCTGGGCTGCCCAGTAAAAAGTTTTAAAAAGAAGAAAAATCTTACCTTTAAAAGAAGGACTTCCTGGGTGTCTGGATGGCTCAGCCAAGTGACCAATTCTTGGCTTTGGCTCAGGTCGTGATCTTGGTGGTGTGAGATTGAGCCCCAGGTTGGGCTCTGTGGTCAGTGTAGAGCCCGCTTGTCCCTCTCCCTCTGTTTCTCCCCACTCTCGCTCTCTTCTCTCTCTCTGTTAAATAATTTTTTTTTTTAAAAAGGACTATTTACCATCTGTTTTAGTTCTTTTACTAAGACTTCATGATATAATTCATTATGTAGTCTTAGAGGTACACGTCTACCCTCATAACTTTGTATGGCTGAAGATTATTAGTAAAAATGACCTAAATTTGAATTTTGTGTTGTTTGATTTTAGTTTCCCAAACCAAATATATAGTTGACATTAACTAGTAAATATGCGTTATGTGAGAGAGTGCTTGTTTACCAGAACATGCAGTTAAAACGTTAAGGAACTTTTGAAGAGAGAGGAATTGGAGAGGGCTGGGGGGTGTGTCTTTTAAGTCTTGCTGATAATGGTTATCTAGATTCTATCTAGAAAACAATAACTTAATAGGCCAGAGGAGTTAATTGTGTTGGGATTTTACCTAATATCTTTATGTCTCTTTTCTTAGGTAAAACTTAGTGGTCATAAATCTCTCAAGTATAATTTATATGTCTGTATGAAATTGGTGACCAGAATCTTGCCAGTGTAGGAAAGTTAATTTAACAGAAGTTTCTTTGCTGTTACCTCTGATGAATGATAGTCTCTTTGCTTTCTCCTGCTGTGTACCTTTCTGCTGCTCTAGAAGCATGACATAATCAGACTTGTTTTAAGGTCAGAGTCTGCAGGGAGAAGAAATAAAAAAATGTGGCTGATTATTTCATATAATGACAGTTTTGGTTCCTATACTAAAGTTATCTAAGATGTTTACCACTGTATATTTAACAAAAAATTTCTTCTCATTTTCACAAATATCAGTAAGCTCATTGGTAATTTTGATGATTGGTGCATATGAATATTTAATGATAAGCAAGTGTTAGATTTGAATGTTTTCTAAAACATGTTCCCATTAATCTAAAATAGGGTGTTATATAAAGTATGGAGCTTATACTAAATGCCAACTGCTGAATACCAGTTGGCCCTTAGTACATTTTGAAATGTTCTTGAAAGAATGAGGGAGAAGTTGAATTTGTATTTGAGTTTATCCTAAACCTAATCATAGTTTCGTTTTCATACTAGAATTGTAGGATGTTTCTCAGTGTTTTCCTCCATGCTCTGTTAATGTCAGATATAAACAAAATTTCCAGTCCTTCGTTTTCTCTCTGCCCATTTTAATTATGGGTTCCTAGGAATTTCTTTGCTTCATTTACCCTCTCCCTGTAACTTAGAATTTCAACAGGAGCTATCTCCTTCACAGTGTATTAAGTTGTTTATTGTGTTGACCAACCTTCTTTATAGTTTAAGACGGCATACCACTAGATATCAGGTCAGGCAAGGTTCTAGAACGAAACAATCCAACTGAGATGGTGCAAGAGATTTATTAAATGAAGGACTGCAGAGATAGGGGTGGAATGGGACACCACAAGGGATGTTTTCTGTAGTTATGGGGGTAAGCTTAAAGGGGCAAGGAAAATACAGTGTAGGTAGAGCCTGGTGAGAGCTGTGAAAAGGGGATGCCTGAAAGGAGCAATGGTGGTAGGGAGACAAAGCTTGTGTCAGAAAATGTGACCAAAAGGAGGGAGGTCTCTTTGAAAGCAAAGAGACCAAAAGGAAAGAAATAATCCAGCATTTCTCTACCTTCTGATCTGCCAGTGACAGATAGCACTGAAACCCCGAAGGTGCGTCTGTTAGGGTTAGCCTCCTTGGACACAGAGTTGGGCAGAAGGGTATAGGAGGAATAGGGTAGTGGCAGTAAGATAATTACTGGTACAACTGCTGATGAATATGGGACTGATTTTAAGTAACATAATATTTTAGATTAAATTTCTCATCTGTAAACTCTAGATACTTATTAACTGGGGTTGATGTGAGCATTAAAATGAGACCTGGCAGACATGTCAAAGTACTATCATAATGTCTTTGTCTTGTATTTGTTTTTAGTTTTGATAAGGTGTCGAGCTTCCTTTCACATGCTGCTGTGCTGTATCTGTTTTATAGGGATTTTGATTGCCACCACCATACTTTTAAATATGTGATAGTTTTTGTGTTTACTAATAAGTTTTGAGAAGTGAATTGCACAGTCACTATGAAGTAGTTTCTAAAATTTAGAGACCGTTTGTATTTACTGCCTTGTAACAGGCATTTATCTTTTTCACTCTTGCTTTAGACAGGACAATACTGACTTCTGAACTTGGAGAGCGAGGATGCTTTTCTGGTGTAGAGGTGGTCTTCCTGGTGAAAGATGGGTCAGACTGCACCCTGCTCCTTCTACCATTGGCGTGTCCTTGTTGCATACTTCTGTTTTCTAGGACAGCAGAGATGCCTTGTCACCTTTTTTTTTTTTTTAACTGGAGTTTGATTTTCCAACATATAGCATAACACCCAGTGCTTATCCCGTCAAGCTTTTTCTCCTTAGAGTATTTCTCCTCACAGAGATCTACTTTCATCTAGTCTCACCTTTGAGCATTCATGAGCCTAGACCAAGATCAAGATAATAGGTCTATTTCCAGGAAAATTATAGCGACAGAGAATCGTTTGCTTAAAAGCATTTTCTGTTTTTAAAAATCCTCCCACAAACTATATTATGATTTTGAAATTAAATAAACTTTCACAGGCTTGAGTTCACAGTTTGTATAAATTTCATACTAAGCTTTTCTGAATTACTAACTAAATCTTCATTATTTTCCACCAGACGTTCAGCTAAATCCCGAAGCAGAAGCCCGTATTCATCTAGGCATTCAAGATCTCGTAGCAGGCACAGATTGTCTAGATCCAGAAGTCGTCATTCTAGCATTTCTCCTAGCACACTAACTCTGAAGAGTAGCCTGGCAGCTGAGTTGAACAAGAATAAAAAAGCCCGGGCTGCTGAGGCGGCAAGGGCTGCTGAAGCGGCGAAAGCTGCAGAAGCGGCAAAGGCTGCTGAGGCTGCTGCCAAAGCTGCCAAAGCTTCCAACACTTCTACACCTACGAAAGGGAGCACAGAAACTGGGGCTGGTGCATCACAAACCAACCATGTGAAGGATGTGAAGAAACTGAAAACCGAACATGCACCTTCTCCCTCAAGTGGTGGAACTTTAAAAAATGACAAGGCAAAAACAAAGCCACCTCTTCAGGTAACAAAGGTGGATAATAATTTGATTGTAGATAAAGCCACCAAGAAAGCAGTTGTAGTTGGGAAGGAGAGTAAATCTGCTGCTACAAAAGATGAACCAGTATCTCTTAAAGAGAAAACCAAACCACTTACACCAAGCTTAGGAGCCAAGGAGAAGGAGCAACATGTGGCTTTAGTGACCTCTACATTACCACCGTTACCTTTGCCTCCCATGCTGCCTGAAGATAAAGACACTGATAGGTAAGTGCAAAAAAGTTTTGTCAGTGAGGGTTTGTTTATTTATTTATTTATTTATTTATTTATTTATTTATTCATTCATTCATTCATTCATTCATGAGAGACAGAGAGAGAGACAGACAGACAGACAGAGAGAAGCAGGCTCCACGCAGGGAGCCTGATGTGGGACTTGATCCCAGGACTCTGGGATCACGCCCTAGACTGAAGGCAGACACTCAACCGCTAAGCCACCCAGGTGTCCCTGTCACTGACGGTTTAAAGAAAAAAAAGTCAGTCTGAAGTGAGAGGTTATCTGACCGCCCCCCCACAAAAAAGGTTACAAAAAAAGGTAAGTTATCTTTATTATGTACACCTTAAACTGAAGCACATTGCTTGTAGGATGACACAATTAGAGTTAATGCTTAGAATTCCAGAATAAATTTGCTGTTGCCTTGGGATACAATGTCCATTTCAGCTTGAGTTTGGGAATTAGAAATGCCAGTACTGTATTTTCTTTAGCATAACTGTTCCTTAATGACACTATAAGAAACAGGACAATTTATGAGGGACTCTTCTCTGGGTGATACAAAGTAGGTATATTGGTAATTTTTAGGTTTCTTTAGAGGTTTTACAGATTTATCACTCTGGGTAGCTTTATGAATTTATTGTTTTTTAGACTTCTCTTGTCTGGGTAGCTTTATGAATTTTGTTTTTTAGACTTCTCTTGACTCTTAAATTTTTTTTTGAGATTAACTATATATTACAGAAAACCCATAATGTGCTTATGTTTTCCTTTAACATGTTTACAGATTTCTATTGTGAATATTGGGGGTATGAGGGTTTTTTTTAAAAAATTTTGAAACATTTTTTAATGAAGATAAGGGTGAGTTAAAGTAAATGCAGTTCTAAGAATATTTCTGAAACGTATGCTAGGATGGAAGCATTACGCTACCTGTGTAGTATCTGTTATACCACTTAATCTTTTTCACTTCTATTTTTATGGAGAAACTAAAATTATAGCTGTTTTCCCCTCATTTTTCTGTTAAAAAACAACTATATGAGCCATTCTCTTAGCTGACATCTTTATAGAATTTGAAAACAAGTGGATAAAAATGGTGTGTAGGTAGGTCTTCTTCAATTACCACTGTAATTGTGGTATTTACAGGTTTGACTCTTCTCTAGGAGCACTGAAGGTTCATAACAGTAGTGAGTTGTAATTTTTCTTTTTTAAGGTTTTCCTTATTGTTTCATGAGAAACACAGAGGAAGAGAGAGGGGCAGAGACACAGGCAGAGGGAGAAGCAGGTTCCATGCGGGGGTCCCAAGCTGGGACTCGATCCCGGGACTCCAGGATCATGCCCTGGATCTGTTGAGCCACCCCGGCTGCCCATGAGTTGTAATTTTGATGAGTCCAGGAATGAACTCTCCATCCACAGAGGCATGAATGCAGAACTGAGTCACTTCATTAATGAGAGAATGACCCAGTTACAAGAATCCAGTAATTCTGGGGGTGCCTGGGTGGCTCAAACATCTGACTTTAGCTCAGGTCATGATTTTGGGGTCTGAGGATTGAGCCAGAAGTCCGATACCCCCACCCAGCAGGGAGTCCACTTGCCCCGCCTTATGCACTCTCCCTCTCTTTCTCTTAAATAAACAAGTAAAATCTTAAAAAATTAATCCAGTAATTCTGGCCCAGTGAAACTGGTTGTTCTTTACTTTATTCTTTCATATATGCTTTGGAGATAAATTTTTACAGGTGATATTTTCAAGAATTCAAGATATGTACAAGTGAGTGCTTAAGGAGGGTATTCTTTGTGCATCTGTTTTTGAGACGGTGGTACATGTCATGCTTATTATCATTAAGAAAATGCTTTGACCCACCCTTTTTGTTTCTTCTGCTTTTGTTATGTCTCTGCTCTTCTTTCTGTTAATGTGTTCATACGTTTCATGAATATAGAATTTTTTTAAAGGTTTTACTTATTTATTCATGAAAGACACAGAGAGAGAGGCAGAGGCAGAGAATAGGCAGAGGGAGAAGCAGGCTTCTTGGGGAGCCTGATGCAGGACTTGATCCCGGGACTCCAGGATCATCATGCTCTGAGCCAAAGCAGATGCTCAACCACTGAGCCACCCAGATGTCCTTGAATATAGAAGTTTTTAAGACCAGTATGCTACTACTAACATGTGCGGTGAAAGATGGATTCAACACGAGTCACTCTTCTTTTTGGTGCTGCAAATGTCCTTGGCCAGTAGGAACTCCCTTAAGCTGACCTCTTTGTCCTTTAACATGACCTGTTTGTTTTTTAATATTTCCTAGTTTAGGCTCACTTTGCACTCTGCTTCTCTTCTAGTCCTGGGATTTATTACTCTCTGAAAAATCACATGGTAGATTTTATTTTATTTTATTTTATTTTATTTTATTTTATTTTATTTTATTTTATTTTATTTTATTTTATTTTATTTTATTTTATTTTATTTTATTTTATTTTATTTATTTAACATGGTAGATTTTAAAGTATATATTTTTAGATGATAAATTTTTTTTGATTATGCATGTAATGCATAATACTCCTTGTCTTTTTAATTAGTGTGTTGGAGATCTTTCCATGTTGGTATATAGATAGAGGTTCATTCAATATTCCTATCAGTAGGAATGAATAAATCATGCTCTTATTAACTATTCTGCTATTGATTAAGGGATATTTAGATTTATAATTGTTTGCTATCAAACTTTTTTTATATTAATATTTTATGTGAGAGCATTTTTTGTAGGATAGTTACCAGGTTAAAGTATACACATTTTATTATTATTATTATTTTAAACATTGTATTTATTTATTTCAGAGAGAAAGCACAAGAGAGTGCAAGTAGGGGGTAGGGGGCGGAAGAGGGAGAGGGAGAAGCAGACTCCCTGCTGAGCAGGAAGCTCAATGCAGGACTTGATCTCTGGACCCTGGGATCGTGACCTGAGCTGAAGGCAGATGCTTAACCAACTCAGCAACCCAGGTGCCCCCAAATTGTACTTTAATAAGATTGTTACCAATTTATACAGTCTTTAAAATATGTAATTATTTAATTTTGCATTTTTCTGATTATTGAGATACAGCATCTTTCTTAATATTTATTGGCTATTTATTTTTTCCAGTGAACGACTTGTTTATATCTTATGCTATTCCTTAATACTATTTTCCTTTTTATAATTGATTTGTAGGTGCTTCTTATGTTAGGAATCTTGACCTTTGCTTATCAGAGTCTTTGCTTATCTTTCACATGTATTTGTTTTGGTTTTGGCTATATGGATGTTTTTTATTTTTAAATATAGTCTGATCTAATCATTTTTCCTTTATAACTTATGTGTTTATAAAGTTAGAAGAGATTAAGTCAAATCACACAGAAATTTGTTTTTGATTAATATATGAAGAAGAAAGATGCTCTCCCCCATCACCCTGTGGACTGATAAGTTTGTTTCTAACATCATTTACTGAATAATCTATAATTTGTGGTGTCATATATAAAATTCTTACAGATACCTGTATTCTGAACTCTTTTCTATTAATATGTTCTATTATTTCTTTGTCAGTACTTCTTGTTTTAACTTTTAACTTTTTTTTTTTTTAAAGATTTTAGTTATTAATTTGACAGAGAGAGCACAGGCTGGGAGACTAGGAGAGGGAGAGATGAGTAGGGAGCCTGATGCTGGGCTTGGGCTCAAGGACCTCAGGATCACAACCTGAGCCAAAGGCAGATGCTCCACTCAACTGTGCAAAGCAGGGCCTCGTGTTTTAACTTCTTTAGATGCATGATGTATTGGTTCTCAAACTCAGATTTCTGTTACAGGGTTAGGCAGGAAATAACAAAAGTGAAGGGATGGAGTAAATTACTGATGAGTAAGTATCTTTGTTTTTCAGCCTCAGCTTCAGTGCTGCTGCTATACATAAATTTGGGCCCAGTGTTGCTAGAGCTTTTGTTTTTTTGTTTGTTTTTTAAAAAGCCTGAAATCTGAATGTTTAGGTAAATCTTATTTAAAAATATTGACAATTCATGTTGGATAGATCATAATACATACTCCTTGACTTTAACCAATCTTGGGTTTCTGGTTTGGGACTTTTTAAAATAGATTGGTCACGTGACAGGGCAAATGCAAATCGCACTCCACTGTTCTTTTTCAGAAATTTTTGGGCAGGGATCCCTGGGTGGCGCAGCGGTTTAGCGCCTGCCTTTGGCCCAGGGCGCGATCCTGGAGACACGGGATCGAATACCACGTCGGGCTCCCGGTGCATGGAGTCTGCTTCTCCATCTGCCTGTGTCTCTGCCTCTCTCTCTCTCTCTCTGTGACTATCATAAATAAATTAAAAACAAAATTAAAAAAAAAATTTTGGGGGCAGATTTTTGCCTTTATTCTTAGATAAATTTTATGATCTACTTGTCAAGTTATATGAAAATTTTTGCTTGGGTTTTGTTTGGGACTCAACTGAATGTAGTAGATTAATTTGGAGACTGATAGGTTTATAGTATTACAGTTTTCCATACAAAAACATGTTTTCTGTCCATTCAGATCCAGTTTTATGTCTCTCCGTCCCTATCTTTAATTTTCTTCTATTGATCTTGTACGTTTCTTGTTAAGGCATTTTGTTGTTTTTATTGCTGTAGTACATGAGAACTTTTAAAAAATCATACTTCCTATTTCATTTCTCTGAAGTCTGGGAGCCTTGCTGAGTCTGGTAGTTCATGTAATAATATATGGCTATAGGCAGTCTTTTAAATTTTAAGTTATAAGTAAAATTAGGATTTTTAGTTTTTTCCTCTAAAAATGTTGATTTAAAAAAGTTGATTTGAATGTTCAAATAAGAATTTTTGACTAAACTCTAATTATAAGTGAGAGACTACAGTTTTCTAGTTAAAGGTTTGAAATAGGTTTATTTTCAGGCATAGTTCAAGTAGTCCCTTTTTTAGAAAAGAGGCTTTTACTGTCTTTCAACCCTGATTTAGCTACCCTTTAGCTACATTACTCCAGGAACCCATTTGGTAATACTTTATCCCGCTGCTTATTTGACTGTGTTCTCCAAGAGACAATCTTAGCTCATTTCTGAGAGGAGTTCTATCTTAGTGTACTTATTATTGTTGTTAAACTCCAGTGCCTTACCTGATGTCTAGCACATAGCATAAAAATCAATATGTTGAACATTAATATTGAAAAGTTACCTGTGTGATACTATTATATTTTTATTGAGAGAGGGAGAGTGTGGATGTGTGCTTGAGCATGGAGTGGGGCAGGGGAGCAGAGGGAGAGAGAGAATCTCAAGCAGAACCCCTGCTGAGTGTGGAGCCCCATGCAGGGCTTGATCCCTCCACCCTGAGATCCTGACCTTAGACAAAATCGAGAGTCGGCTGCTTAACTCACTGAGCCACCCAAGTACCTCCATACCATTACTTTAAAAATAAAACTGCAAACCAATTTCCTTTTGTTTTTGTTTGTTTATTTAAATTTTTATTTATTCATTCATGAGAGACACATAGGCAGAGGGAGAAGTAGGCTCCATGCAAGGAGCGCAATGTGGGACTTGATCCCAGAACCCTGGAATCACACCCTGAGCTGAAGGCAGAGTCAACCGCTGAGACACCCAGGCGTCCCAAACCAATTTCCTTTTGAACATGTTTTCTCTGTTAAAGAACTTCTAGGCCACCTTGGTGGCTCAGTGAGTTAAGTCTCTGACCCTTGATTTTGGCTCAGGTCGTGATCTTGGAATTGTGGGATCCAGCCCTGTTGTGGGGTTCTGTGTTCAGTGTGGAGTCGGCTTCAGTTTCTCTCACTCTCTCTCTCTCTCTCCCTCCCTCCTCTCAAATAAATAAATAAAATATAAAGAAGAAAAAAAACTTCTAGTGAGTAACATGGGGTTAAGAAGAAAAGACACAACTTTATTATAGTAATTGGTAAATGGTTTTTATCAGATAGTATTAAAGTATGTGTTTGTACAATAATACTAATGTTCAACATAAATAGAAGTTATAATTAAAGTGGAATGATTGATAATTTAATTTGCAATTTGTGACCCCAATGGTGTAGTCTCACTCAATTTTTTCATTGTAGGACTCATACTTGCTATGAAACTGTGTGAAGTACAAATTTTATTATCACTATAAGATTCTCTTTCAAGAAATATCTTCTTATTAAACAGATTTTTTAGTAACTGGGAGGTTTAAGATACTCAAATTACCTAGTTAAGATAGTCTTTAAAATTCAGAGCTCTTTATGCATTCAAAAAAAACTAACTGAACTTGAATTTTTGCCTGTACTATCAGTAAGCTTCTTAGAACCTTAAAAAAAATCATTGTCCGATTTAAAAGAATCATCTAATTTAAGAAAATTAACCTTGAAAGGGGGCAAAGCTAAATTAGTTGTTGTTGCTTATGTAAATGGATAAGATAAATAATGGCATGTGGTATTATTTCTTACAAAACCTGTTTATGTCTCTCCAACAGAGTCAAACAAAATGCTATCACAAAACTAAGGAATTTTCCTGTGATGCATGAGTAGTTTACTTTTTTAGTATTAATTTACAGCTTTTTGTTTTTTTAAAAAAATATTTTATTCATGACAGAGAGAGAGAGAGAGAGAGAGAGAGAGAGAGAGAGAGAGAGAGACAGGCAGAGGGAGAAGCAGGCTCCACACAGGAAACCTGTTGTGGGACTCGATCCCGGGTCTCCAGGATCTCACCCTGGGTTGAAGGTCACGCTAAACCACTGAGCCACCGGGACTGCCCTAATTTACAGTTTTATAGTAATTTTTTATCATCTTTAAAAGTATACCGCTTTTTGACCAGTTGTAGATTTGCAGAAAAGTTAAAATGATACTACAGAAAGTCCCCATATACTTTGTAGTTTCTTCATTATTAACATCTTACATTAGTATGGTATGTTCATTATAACCAGTGAACAAATATCAATACGTTATTGTAACTAAACTCCACACCTTGTTCAGATTTCCTTAGTTTTTGTCTAATTCTGTATCATTTTTACCCTCAAATTTTATATTTTGCAATTGAATATATATAGTACATTATTTTAGCTAGAAAGTGAAGAAAGTTAGTATTTTGCCATTGCTACTTAAGTGTAAGATGTGGCTGCATTTTTATTTCTCATATAAATGTGTTTTATTTGTCTGACTCCTTCCTTTTTTAGCTTACGAGGAAATATTTCAGTAAAAGCAGTTAAAAAAGAAGTAGAGAAGAAACTACGATGTTTACTTGCTGATTTACCACTGCCCCCTGAGCTACCAGGAGGAGATGATCTCTCAAAGAGTCCAGAGGAAAAGAAAACAGCAACACAGTTACATAGTAAAAGGAGGCCTAAGTATGTGCTTGCTTTCTACCTGCTCTTAAATTGACCAGAAATGATTCTGGGTCATCATAAAATCACAAAACAAAAAATTAAAATTTCAAATTATAAAATGTGTACTTATTCTTTAAACTTAACTATATGAATAAATTCTAGAGTTTTGAAAAAAATTCATAATTCCCTGAGTATACCTATTCAAAATGACTAATAAAACCAAATTTAATTTTCTCTCACAATTTGTAATGTATTAATTTCTTGGGGTATCCTATGTTACTGATAATTTCTACAATTAAGTTATTTGAATAACAGAAAACACTGAAATTGGAGAATGTGGAAGTCAGCATTCAGTGAGCCCAAACAAAATTAGTCATGGGCAAGCTGGCATGTTTTCCTTTGCTTTTTTAGCTGCATTTGCTCCTATAACTAAATGCATTTTTCATTTTGCAAGAGGTGGAGTGGAAGAAGGTTTGAAATCTGTATCCTAAATTAGTTTCAAGTAAGTGCCCAGAGATAACTCCTTCCCTTAAAACCAGTTCATCAGTTAAAGGGGGGAGGACGTTGATTCCTACTTTACCTCTACTTAATCGAGGGAAAGTGTAAGACTTTGATTTTAGGATTGCTGTCCAGGTTCCTTGTATCAGCTGATTTTCTAGTATAGAGTAGGAAACTAGAAAACTTTTAGAATCATTTTCCTGAGTATTGTAGCTTTATTCCTTACTTGAATTTCTGTTACATACCAGAATATTGAGAGACTACAAAATTACTTATTTTTTTAAAGAATGTCAAATATTTGTCATATATATGACCTGCACACAGACACACACACACAGTGTGGATTCTGGAGAGTTGATTATACTAATACTTTTATACTCTCTTGGACTAAAAATCTTTCTTGTGTTTCCATTTTTAAGATAATTTCATCTAGCCCTAAGTCTAAATTTGTCAATAAGCTTTGTAGTTAGAGTTTTGGTAATGTTCATTATCAAGTTTGTTTTCTGAAAAAATGAGTGAAGCATATATGTATAATGGATGGAAAGGAAGACTTCTGGAGATTGCTTAGAGAACCTTGACTCTTTGTAGTAGTGTTGGTTTTATCCATTCATTGAAAATTACATTTTATTTCTGAAAGTTCTTGGTACATGCTTTACTTCTCTTTCTCAGATTGTTAGTTTATAGGAGAAAAGTCGGTATGGAAAAATGATGCCTTGACTTTTGGGATAATTTATAATACCAAATTAAAGTGTAACTTGGTCTTCGATGATCACAAATGTACAGGGAAGGGGGAAAATGATATAAGGCTGGGGGAGGGTGGATGTTAAATATTAAATGGTTTATTCAACTTGCTTGATTGTATATAAAAACTTCAGAACTATATTTGATAGAATATGTGGGCCTCGCTATGGTGAAATCAAAGAAAAAGATATTGACTGGGGAAAACGCTGCGTGGATAAATTTGATATCATCGGAATTATTGGAGAAGGTACCTATGGACAAGTTTACAAGGCCAGGGATAAAGACACTGGTAAGTATGTCAAATGCTGTGGATCTTTAGATCTATTGAATGTATTTGATTTGTATTTCTCTTCAAATGTGTATTTGAGGTGGTTTTTTTTTTTTTTTTAAGTTTGGATTTATCATGCTTTTGTTTCATCTTGGTTTTTGTTTTATTTTCTATGTGCAAGTACGTAAGATATGAATACACGTAAGTGGGTGTGTAAACATTTTTTACGTTTTTTTTAGTATTTGTGATATGTAGTATGGTGGGATTTAGCTTTCTTTGTGAATAAATTCTTAGGTTGTTAGTAATCAGGAGGAAAAAGTATCTTGACTGTCTTAGTAGTAAATTTTGTTGTATTAAGCCTTATGTAACTCATTTTCTTTTAGCCAAAATACTCTTTTTCTGTCCAAGTTACAGAGGCCAGACTTAGCAGCTTAATATTTTAGAACATAATCAGGAACCTCTGAGAAAGTTTTCAAAGGTCTTGCAGCAGAGTAGAAAGTAACTGTGTCAGAGGCTATGTATTTTACTAAATAATGGGTAGAGCCAGTGTTTAATATTTACTTATAATTCCTTGTTGAAATAAACCAATAGATTAAAGTAGCATAGATATATGAAGTCATTTAGTATAAGAAAACTCTGGAGGGCAGGTACAGCATAGGGTAAAATTTATAGTGATGATTCTGCATTATCAAAAAGATTAAATTATAACTTTAAAAAAGCTATTTAATAAACAAGGAATCCTACATTTTAAGACTTCCATCAAAAAGAAGTAAGTTTTAATGATTAAAAGGATAAACTTTCTTCTTTTGGAAAATTTGTAAGTACAGAATTACTTTTTTTCTCTAAAGAATGGAATGAACTTTATTATAGTGCATTTTTTCCTATAATAGGAGTGTGTCTGTTCTATTTAATAGTTAGATCTTATCTGATCAAAATTCATTCAGACCTGGATTGTGAAGTCAGTTAGTGTAGTGAGAAGACAAATACTTCTCAGGTTGCTAAACCAGATTTTGAATCCCAGTTTCACTGCTAGGTAACTGGGCAGCTTTGGACAAGTTAATACGTCTGAGTTTATTTTCTCACTTGCACTATGTACAGAATCTTCTCATATGTTCAGAGGTTTTATGCATGTGTAAGCATGTTGGGTAAATTTATCCTCCCCTCCTTCACTTTTTAAAATTGGTAGTGTAATGCACCTGCTGTTGATCATCTTGCTTTTTAAATATGTCTTGGAGAGCAAAAAATAACAATAGCTATGGACCTGCCCTATCCTTTGTAACAGTTGTGTACTATTTCACAATTTGGATAAATATTTCATAATTTTTATTTAATCAGAGATTTAATTTCTTGAACTGTAAACATTGTGATTTCAAGAGGTAGGAGCAGAAATTATGAATTAAAAGTTAAAATCAAGAAAAATGTCGTTTGGTTTTGTCATCTGGTAACTTGATTTTTTTTTTTTTTATTTTCATAGGAGAAATGGTAGCCTTAAAGAAAGTACGTCTAGATAATGAAAAGGAAGGCTTTCCAATTACAGCAATTCGAGAAATTAAAATTCTCCGGCAGCTTACCCACCAGAGTATTATTAATATGAAGGAAATAGTGACTGATAAAGAAGATGCTTTGGATTTTAAGAAGGATAAAGGTATGCATGCATTTTTACATAACCAATTCTGCATCCGCATGATGTTGCTAACTTACAGATTTTGTCATAGGGATTGACCAGTTGAGTAATTGCTTGGTACATAAAACTATTGCATTAACGTCATACTTTAATTTTAAATGTAGATGAGTTGAACAATTATTTACTTAGTGATTTTTGAGTTACATTAGTAAACAAAAAAGCATATTTGGGAGTAGTAGTAGTTTTTTGAGCATTAATGTATAATTTTTAGTCTGCATTTTTTAGTTATTAAGAAATAGTTTATAGTAGTATAGAATATATTTACATTTTTAATGTCATGACTTAATAGACAAAGAAATTTTATGATAGACATTTATATTATTTCTGAAGGTGTGGAGGCAAAAATCTTACCTGAAATTGCCTTTAATAAACTATAGTGGCATATGCTTGACATTTAGCAGAAAAGTAAAAAGGAATTAGCATGCTTATTAAAGTGGTTGTCATAGGCATATGGTGGGTGAAAGGTCTGCTTGTAGTAGGTTTTAGATCTTCAGAGTAAGATTGTGGAACCAGAGTTGACTTCATTATAATCTGTGGTTTTCAAAGAGCAAAATTCTTTTTCAGATTAAATCTAAGAAAGTAAAATAGATACGTTCTGATAGAACAGGGTACTTAGCCCTCTCCCATCCCCAACTACACACACACACACAAAATCTTACTCTTCCTGGGGAATAGTATAAAAATGATTGACATAATACATGGTAATTTTGTAGGAAGGAACTTGTTTTGACAGTATTCTCTATGTACTATGCAGATAATTAGAATGATCTTTTTAATTGGTGTCCTTTCCATTAATTTTTGTCTTTACTAATTCCCACATTCTTTAGCTTGATTTTTAATCTAGTTTGTATTTTTCACCTTATTTTTTTTCTTGTCCCCTATTGTGTAGTAGAAAGGTTTGACTTGTGTTAACAGTGTCTGGGACTTGTGACTTTGCTTATGAGCAGTGCAACCATAGTAGCACTGGGCTTTAGCCCTTCTGAACCTGTGTGAAGCTATTAAAGGGAAACATTATTTCTCTTACTGTGTAGTAAGGATTAAATCAAAATCTTATACATGAGGGTTACGTGTTATGTTGTTTTTCATTAACTTCCTACTATAGTCAAAATAATGTATTTGTTTTTCCTCCAACATACCCTGGATCTCCTTCTTCTTTGATCTGTGGGATCATGTCCCTGCCTGTTTCTTTATCCCCCATCTCTGCCATTTTTCTGATTGTCCAGCAAACTTCAGGGTGTTTTGAGTTGTCAAATATGCTGATGCACTTCTCTATCTTTAAAGTCTTTACAAATGCTGCCACCAGTCTCTTCTCTCTATCTGTGAGTTTGGGTTGTTTTTTTCCCCCCCCCGGGCTTAAACCTCTCTCTAGCCCCAACACATAGGTGCAAACACCATTTGAAAGGCTGACTTCACATCCTCTGTATCTCAGACTGAATGTTACATTATTTCATCAGTGAGGCTTTACTGGATTACTTTCTACTGTATATAGACCCATCAATTTAAAAGTCTTACTTTTTTTCTTCATTACTTTTTCCAGAATAATCATACTACTGATTTGTTATTTATTTGTTTCTCTGCATGAGGATGGGAATCATACCTGTTTTATTCATCATTATAACCTCTACCTAGCTCAGTGGCTAGGCCATAGAAATTACTATAAATAACTAATTGCTGGATGAATAAATGAGCTCTACTTAGATCCTATTCATACTTTAACTTTTTAAAAGACTGTTATCATTGAACATAAAAGTATTTGTAGTTTTCCTTATATTTATGGCTATAATTTATTTTCCTTACTATATTATAAATTCCCTTGAGTCCTGGGTTTTTTGTTTTGTCTCCCGTACAGTGCCTAGTACTGTATTTTACAAATCGTAGATTTTCACATATATGCTTCCTCATCTTCTTTTCCCCCACCATAATCCTGTTTGTAGTTGTTGGAATCATGATAAAGTGTTATACTATGTGAAATGTTATATTTAGATGCCAGATAGTAGTTAAATATATTACAGTATGTCAGGGAGTATGGAATTTAAAACAAAATCATCTTTCAAAATTATTTATTTTATTGAGATATAATTGATATACATTATATTAGTTTTAACAGCATAATCATTTGATATTATATATCTTGTGAAATGAACACCACAATGCATTCAGTTAACATTCATCGGTCATGTAGAATTTTTTTTTCTTGTGATGAGAACTTTTAAGGTCTTGCTTAATAACTTTCAAATATACAATACAGTATTATTAACCATAGTCACCATACTGTGTATTACATCCTCATGATGTATTTATAATTGGAAATTTATGCCTTTTGACCCCCTTCACCTATTTTGCCCACCTTCTTTCCTCTGGCAAGTCTCTACTCTGTATCTGTGAGTTTGGGTTTTTTTTTTTTTTTTCTCCTTGTTTTTGTTTTAGATTTTACATATAACTGAGATCATATGATACTTGTTTTTCTCTGAATTCTTAGCATGGTGCCCTCAAGGTCCATTCGTGTTGTTGCAAATGGCAAGAGTTCCTTCTTTTTTTATGCCTGAATAATATTCCATCGTATATTTGTAATACATTTTCTTTATTCGTTCATCTTTTGACAACCATTTAGGTTGCTTCCATGTCTTGGCTATTGTAAGTAATGTTGCAGTGAACATGGTAGGTGCGGATATCTTTTTGAGTTAGATTTTTCTTCCTTTGGATAAAAAACCAGAGTAGAGTTGCTGTATCATACAGTAGTTCTATTTTTAACTTTTTGAGGAACCTCAATACTGTTTTCCATAATGGCTGCACCAATTTACATTCCTACGAACAGTGCATGAGAGTACCCTGTTCTCTACATCCTCACCAACACTTGTTATTTCTTGTCTTTTTAATAGTCATCCTAATAGGTGTGAGATAATACATAATCCTTTTGTAATGAATTGGTTAATTTTGATGGGAACCATGGTGAGATAGCCTAATTTGGTGAAAAGAGAATTCGATTTGAAGTCCTTGGGTTCTAAGCCTGGTCATGTGAACTCTGTGCCATTATATTAATTGTGATCGCTATCCTAGAGCAGAAAGGCAGTATAGGAACTTTGATTTAATAGTTAATAGTTCATATTCAAATTCATAAAACTAAAAAAAAAGTTAAAGCAAATACTTAAAACAATTTAGCTATGAAAATTATGAACAATATACATATGAGGTAAAATTGCTAATATAAAAGTAGAAACATTTGCATTATTTTAACTTAAGTCTTTGGCTATGTAAGAATAACACCGTAAAAGAATTTTTTAAAACTTGGCTTCACTTAAAAATGAAAAAAATTAATATTGAAAATAAAATGTGTTTAAAAAAATTATCCTTAAGAAAACAGAGTTAAGTAGTATTAATAAGCCAATGGTGGATTTTTGTGCAAAATCTTAGTGATGCTGAGTGAACTTTTTCTGGAATAATCTGGGGGAATGGATGAAGGCTGAACTAATTATAAATTTTTCCTAATTTTATTTATCTCCAGACAGTTTCATCTTTTTATAACTGAGGGGATCTTTTAACCTTTTTGTCCGTTATTCAGTCTTTTTATTGTGAGCAAGGGGGAGATTTTGTTTCAAAGGAAACATTTCCTGTACCTCTAGATTTTTAGTTGATCTTGAAGTATGGAAGAAGAATGGGATGTGATTAGGGCATTTTGGTACTCTAGTGTTCATATTTCACTGTTCAATCAGATATTTGATGTGTGAACTGCTTTGCAGAAGAAACTTTGCTTTTATTTTCTTGTCCTCCCTCCCCGAGGATTATGAATTTAGAAAGATACTTTCTGAATGAATGTAATTATACTGAATTAAAAAATGTAAAGGAGTTTGGGGTGTCACACTGGCTCAGTAGGTTGAGCATCAGACTCACTCTTGATTTCAACTCAAGTCATGATGTCAGGGTTGTGGGATTGAGCCCCCGGGTCAGCTTGGCACTCAGCAGGGAGTCTGAGACATATTTTCTCTCTCTCTCTCTCTCTCTCTCTCTCTCTCTCTCTCTCTCTCTCCCCCTCTCCCTCCCTCCCTCTCTCTCTCTCTCCCCCTCTCTCCCTCTCTTCCTCTCCCTCCCTTTCCCCTCCCCCCTCCCCCCTTTCCCCTCTCACTCCCCCACTCATGCTCACATGCTCACTCTCTTAAATAAATAAATCTTTAAAATGTTTTAAAGCAGTTTATAATTCTCTGGGTAAAAGACTTTTTGTTCTGCAATTATATGTAATGTAAAATAAAAACTACAGTCATTGATCTCCATCTCAAGATGTAAATATTTAGAATTCAGATTAAAAAAACTCCAGGCACTGACGTAATGGTATCATTCCAAGAAAATGGTATTTTGGTACTTAAAATTAACATGATATCCTGGACAACCAAAACCCAGTATCATAATTGCTATGTTCAAATTAAGCTATAATGCTTTCAATATTGGTATTAGTTTAATGAGGGAATTTTTATAATCTTTTAATTTGGAATTTTCCTAAAAATCAGGAAAAGAATATTCTGAGGTAAATGCTTTTGGCAAAGTATTATTATGTGGTTGAGGGAAAATGTCTCAGTGTCACTCTTCTATAATCTGTGATTCCCACATGGTGCTCCCCTGCACTTAAATTCTAGTTCTGTTAGATGGTGGAGCCAGATTTCCTTCTAAGGTCTTTGTACATAAAACTCCATTCACATCTGATTATTCCTTTAAGTATATTAATATAAGTAAGATTACTAGGTCAAAGGATTTGAACTTTGAAATTTCTTCAGACATATCACCAAGTTGTTTTCCAGAAAGGTACCAAGTTATAAGGCAGGAAGAGAACAAACTAGGAATAGAAGGGAACTGTCTCAACCTGATAAAAGGTCATCTGTGAAAAACAAGGATGTCTGCTCTCACCATTTCTGTTCAACATTGCCAAGGCAATTAGGCAAGAAAATTAAATAAAAGATAATCAGAAATCAGAT